TTAAAACTAATATCTTTTTTTTTCTTAATTTTATTTACCAAAAATAAAAAAAATAATTTAAAATTTAATTTCAGTTAGACTATAACTGAACCGTGCGCAGCCTACTTACAGCTGCACTATAGGGAAGTAGCTCACCTGTCTATGCACACACACGGGCACCCGCACGTGTTCCTCTCATCGTCACGCACGAATTTTGGAAACCGTAGTCTTTCAATAAATTGACGTAAACAATTATCCTCGTGCGGCGGCTTTTCACTTCCTCCCCCTGGCTCGAGACCATCACCATACATTCCTTCCACGTCACCCTTAAAAGTAGGGTCCACCCTTTACTTTCGACTCAATTACCCATATCTCCGCCGTCCATTTAGCAGACTTTTCAACTCATCTAGGAGTGATTAGTATAACCTCACTCCGCTGTCACGGAATAGCCGCGATCTTTGTTACCTTCTCTCCCCGTTTCTGTATAAAATACCAACATAACAAGGTATTGAGTCATTGACGATCGAAAGAAATTTAGAGAGATGGGGAGGTCTGTGTCGGAGTTCGAGTGCAATAAGCACCAGCATCACCAGCAGCTTCATGGGGTTTGCCCGTCTTGTTTGAGGGAGAAGTTGTCTCATCTCTGTTTCGCTTCCAATAGAGAGATCGCTAGAGTCATTCCTTCTTGCTCTTCCTCGGTTTCTTACTCGTCGGTTTACTCGTCGCCAGATCGACGTAGGGGTCATCAGCGGAAGGGTTCCGAAATGATGGGGTTTGTTTCTTATACGTTGGGTGTTGGGAATTTTAGTTTGAGGAAGAGCAGATCCATGGCTTTTCCGCATGGGAATTTCGGTGGGGAGGTTGGGAATGAGAAGAAGAAAAAAGGGTTCTGGGCGAAGTTGCTTGGATTGAAGGGGAAGAAGGAGGTTCTTATGCATTCCAAGACTATAAGGGAGAGGTATTATTAGATTGATTAAGTAGTAGTGAACTTTAGATGATGAGGTTTTGGAAGTTAGAAAATAAGTTGTGCATAGTTTTTGGTTTTAGAGGATGAACTGCTTGTGCATATTTTGTTTAGAGGAGGGTCTACTGCACTTCTTTTAATTATTAATAAAGAGATGAGCAAACTACACTCTAGTTTTCTAGTTGTTATATTGGGATTGGTTTGAATATCATGTCATGTTTAACCATCTTCTACCACTGTATTGTGAATTCTTCTACAATCCTTGATTTTTATTTTTATTTTTTACCCTTCTTGAGTACTGTTGTTTAAATTATTTTCATGCATGGCACCTGCAAGGCGAGCATCTAGGTTAGCTGCTTAACAATTGCAAAGATTTAGAGCGCCGATCAAGTAGCTGCTTAACAATTTGCAGGAACTTCGACGCCTTAGCATAAGTTAAGCTTGAGAATAGTCATGGCGAAATTTCATCGGTCGTAAGGATATTAGGTAATATTGATTTTGACATTAGAGAAAAAGAGACGTGTTGAATGGTAGAAATGAGAAAACAGATTGCGTGAAACGTGCTGCGAATTTCTATTTGTACCTTTCTGAATAGAGAACCTATTCCGTGATCAACTAGAGTTCAACATTTGAAAGGTTCAAAAAGAATCTCAAGAGAAATACAACAAGCTATCAATGTCGGCAATTTCCAAACATGCTTCTCATCCGCCGTATAACAACATTTTATTTGGTATTCAAACTTGCAGTTCATTGGCTCAAATGACAATAGAGGAATTTAAATTCGTGTTTTTTTTCTATGGTTATTATTACAAAATTCAAGCCAACCCAATGGGTTCAAGTAATAACATTTTTAAGGTCCGAATTTAGAAGTGAAATTCTTCTAATATGTTTAGAAAAAATTAATTTTAGTAATAATACTTTTGGGTTTGTTAATAACAAAAACTTAATCAGTCACCATATATTTAAGTAATATATTTGGAAGTTGTTACACAATGTGGACTCTATCAACTGCACAACTGGGTGCCCCACAATTAGCGTGGTGGGGCTCCAATGTTACCCCAGAGAAGCCTTGTGACGTTTCGCACAATATAACATGATATTTTATGATTAACTCTTTATTTAAAAGATGATTCATTTAATGTTATACCGTATTAGGTAAAGCTCCCATTTTTTATTTTGATATGCTTGGAACATCTGTTTCTTGTTTCTTTCTCCTATTATAACCGGACAACTCTAGTAAGAAGCATTGACTCTAATATAAGCACTAAAAGGAAGTAACATGATTGGTAAATGTAACTGTCTCAATAATTATAAGGCAGAACCATATTCAGCAAGCAAGGATATTGCCTAAATTTTGTATGTTGGCCGATACTTTTTCTTTGCGTATAAGATATCTTTCCAGTACTCATTTACATGCTCAAAATTCTGTATTGAGTCAGCCATCAAACTTACCCAGAACCTGTACATTTTGTGTACCACAATATTTACAACATAAACAAGCCACCTCTCATAATGAATCTAACATCATCTAGCGGGGCCTCTAAGTGGCTGTCACATTTCCATCATCCTCGTCATCTTCATCCCTATGGTCGTCAACAGATGGCCCTTTCAACCTCTGAAATATCCCATCCAGGGACTCAGACGAGTAAAAACGAGAGAGTGCTCTATTTTCCTGAATTTGGCGTATGGGATGAAACTTTTTGCTTGTCACGTTTGCTTTGAAACTTCGAAGACCTGATTTCATCGATTGCCACGTCGAAGCAAAACCAGAGGATTGCCGTCCATTGTAATTACTAGTGTTTGCGTTGCCGGCATCTAGCAAGGAGACCTTAATGGAGGCTATGTCATTCTGCACTGGCTTTGAATTGGATGCTTGTCTGCTCTTTTCTCTCATGTCAGCATACTTGTTGCCAATGGCTTCTTTTCTTGTCACATATGATCCACGAGCCTCTTCTCTTATAGTTTTTGAAGTACTTCCATTGCCATCAGTGACCGTGCTTGCCTTCATTTCTACGTCAGTCCAATCCTGAGATGTATATCTAAGTCAGAACTCAGAAAGTATGTCTGATATTACAGGATTCTATATTAACAATGAAAAAGTGAAAATGATATTACAAGTATATTTCATAAACATGAGATGCATTGGACGGATGCATTCAAAAGTAAATGAAGAGTAGAATAAACAACACATTTATCTTTCAAGATATGTTCAACACACCGTGCTGTTGTAGCCAGACTCACTGTCAGTATTATTGAAATTTCTTGCTAATGGGATAACATGCTCTCCAACCTTGCGACCTTCCTCAAGCCAAGATCGTTCTAGAAGAATGATAACTTATTATCAATCAATCATGAACGATGCTTTGAATGTAAGCATAAAGGTCATACCATGCAAACTTGCTAGTATAAAGCCATAAGAAAGTAGCATGCCACATGTAACACGCTGTATGCTTACCTTTTTGTAGGATAATTATTCCTGATGGATCAAATCCATCCATATCATCTGCCTCAGTTTGAAATCTAAATCTCGTCCAGCTCCCAAAGAAAATAATCACACGATCAAAGAAATTGCCAGCAACCAATAAGGTATATATAACCATGATCAGTGGGTAAATATTGTTAAATCCTTCTCCAAAGAAAGGAACAGCAGAATCTATTGTCCCCATTCGCTGCAACCAGAAATTGATGATGCACCAGAGGAAACAGTCAATTTCAAGCATGTTGAAAAAGACCCTCAAGTCCCTTATAGAACCTCTAATATTATACCATAATTCTACTGAGGACCCAATCCAATTATTAGGCTAAAGAAATTTTTAGATCCAAAATAAATGCCTGAAAATCTGGGTGGTTAAATTCATAAAAACAGCTCAAGCATTAGGAAAACAGTGGCTAATTTCAAGTGGCACACAATTTCCGTGACTCTAAATTTGACAAGTTTCTTTTCTTTTCCTTTCAGTTGCACAACTCATACTCTTACAGTAATTGAAACCAAACGGTCCAAACCAACATTAAACTGGCCAGAACAAAAAATACGGACAGACATACATATATCGAGGATGGTGTAGGGTAAGTTGTCCTTCTAAAACCTTTTTTTGGAGGACTTACCTACAAACCCACCTTTTAACTAATATTTTCAAAAACCAACCATTGGATTGAAAGTTCTATTCATGTAGATTATGCATGTCAATTTTCACGTTGATCTAACACGTATAACTCTTTGATTAAAGAAACTTTATTTACGAGTATATATTTAATAGTGTAAAATTTCTTATAATAAACGAAGTGGTTAGGCCTAATAAAACAATTTGAAAATTGGTATGTATGATCTATATGTGAATAAAACTTTCAATCCAACAGTTAGTTTTTAAAAATATTAATTAGAAGATGAACTTTTAGACATATCCTCCAAAAAAATTTTAAGAGGACGGCCCCCAAAACACCTTTCTCATATATATATATATATATAGAGAGAGAGAGAGAGAGAGAGAGAGAGAGAGAAAGAGAGGGAGGGAGGGGAGTGGAGATCCGTTTACACACGTTTTACATACCACACTTAACACAAAATCTTGGCCATTCATCTATTCACTTTCAATGGTTGAGATTTATCACAACATTTTAGATAAAAATAAATAAATATTTTTAATAAATATAATAAAAAGTGAATAAATCTATAACATTAAAAGTGAAGTGATGAATGGTTAAACTTTTGTGTAAATGTGGTGTGTAAAACTTGTGTGTAAATGTGATGTGTAAAACTTGTATGTAAGTGGATCATAACTCTCTCTATATATATGTATCACTTATACAAAATCTTGACTATTCGTAGTAGAGATGTGCATAAGAGTTGTGTATAAGAGAATCCTAACTCATCTATATATATATTAGTTTTAGATAGCAAACAAAATCAATAATAAAGGAACCTTGTCAAAGTTACCTTTTCAAATATAGTTCTCCTCCTATCACCAAGGCTAATGAGATTAAGAAAGTTGTATGAAATTGGAGGGGCATAACGAGCAACCATCCTAGTAGACATATTAATAAATCAAGTGAGCTCTTGATGTAAAGCCAAGTTCATAATGATAAAGATGTGAGGATGACTTACGAACAGATCATAAGCAAGTTGACTGAGCTTGTTTGCTGTGGTGTTAATGAGTAAAACATTAGCATTCCAGCCTTGAACAATGAATAATATGTGCACATGCACATATACATCAGAGGTACAAAAGCAAAGACCTGGAAGAAAAAAGCAATCCCAGAAACATTGGGTCCAAATTGGTAAAATGGGAAAGAGAATAACAAATGAATGGATGTGCAATAATCACATATAGTATACAACACATTAACAATTATTATGCAAATGGAATGGCAGTATCTACCAAACTACATGCTCCCATAGATAGCCAGTTCCGGTGAAGAAACAAGTATAAAACAGGAATGAAACTCTTACCTGCACAAGGACCTCCTCATGTTTTACAGAATTTATGAGGATAGAGAAAAGTGACAGGTCCACTCCACTAGGTAGAAGAGTTGCCTCAGCTAAAAGAATTGCTACTGACACGATACCAAGTATAATAGCTAAGACCTTATCTAGTTGTTTTCTTAGGATACATCGCCATATAAATTCTGCAAGTAACCATCATTTAATTCATAAGTCACACTTTAATATTTATTATCAAACACTCAAGAATGGATTAAAAAAACATTGAACACAAACACTATGCCAACAAGGAAATAATGAAAAGAAAATGAAAGAGAATTCATGATAAACATATCTGTCCTAATAAGCAAGCAAGAATGTGATAGATATCATGCTTCAAATATATGAGCATGACAATACACACGCACTTAACATAGCACCAGGGCAAGCATTCCAGAGGATGTCACCAAATTAGTCTCATAGTTCACCATTTTTGTGGCATTTCATTTTTCTGCATTTTGAAGTCCATGAATTATTCTCAGTTTGTCTCTGGGGCTTTCAATCTAACGGTGTCTGGAATTTTCTCAAAGTTTTCCTAGCAAACTTAGTAATGTTTTCTCAAAGTCTAAGGTACTTACTCCAATACTTCATATTTAGTCATAGCTCTGAAAAACAGAAGCACTGAACAAATTTTACATGGTTAGTTTTATTCAATAGAACATTTGCTCCCTTAGCAACTTTTAACCCATGTACTCTACCAGTTTCAGCTGGATCTAAAATCTCTGATTATCTGAGCCCATTATCAATTAGCCAAAAGCCAATAAGAAACACATTTTTAATCCCTGAATCAGCAAATTGGCAATCAATAACCATGCAGAAACACATCTGTCTTGCCTGATGCATCCTTGCTTAAAACCAGTCAACCACGGTGAATCCAAGTTTCCAAATTCATAGATTTCTTGGAGAAATGAAGAGAAGGAAAAAAAGAAGGGTGGGAATGATTTTGGTCCCCACTAAAACCAAACATAACAAATTCATCAAAACTACAAGTGCCTCTAGTGCAATATAAGATTAGAACTTTAAAAAAACAGCTGGTCAAAAGAAAAAACCATTACCAATTGTATCTAAGAGTGCCCCAGTTTTGCCAAAACGACTGAGTCTGAAACTTGAAATGTATTTCCTAAACTAGCAGGAAAAGAAAATTACAGCTCAAGGAAAAACAATAAAGAACATGTACCAAAAATAAGCAAGACAGTTGGAAAGAAAAGTTAGAAGGAAACCATCCAGTTGAACCACGTCGCTCATAATTTTTTATTGCATCTTCCAGTTCAAGGGCCTCTGTGACATAGGTCATATACTCACTGCAAAGAGTAACAGAATATAAGAAATATAGTAGGAGATTGTTTTAAGTCTATACTCAATCAGATTGATAATTCCACCTGCTCTATCAAATTCTGGAGAGTGGAATAGTACTTAAAAGGGTACAACTAGATAAGAAATTCTGCTGCACAGTAATCTCCTGGCAGATTTGCATCAAACTATCAAGAACATCAGAAGGAATGAAGCAAAACACGAAATTCATGCGTGGACATGAGGCAGAAACACTTCCAACAAACCAACATAAAACCAAATGATTATTGATAAAGGCACTGGCAACCTAACCTATCTACAAAGAAAAACAACAACGAAAATTACGCCACAGAAAACATAAAACTAAATAAGTTCTTGCCACATCTCAATTTAGAGGGAGCATCTATACAATCATTTTTCATGCACATAATGAGTAATTTAAAATGACTAAACTTCACCATCTACTTTACCTTTTGTATCGATAATATTCCTCTCGAGCTCGTCGAAGATGACGCCTAAGTGTTGCCATTGATTTCTCATCTGTATCATAGTCCATATCATTTTCACCCAACCGACCACCTTGAGGCTTAAAGGAAGGATCTTCCCTAAACTGGATAATAAATTGAACATATATAGACATAAAAAATGTGAGCAATTCATTGGAATTGGCCACATTTGCAAAATAAACAAGAATAAGTAATACCATTTGAGTCAGCATATTATCAATGACATCCATGTAGGGTCTAAAAGGATCACGCTTGGAGATCTGATTGGATGTTGCTTGAGCAACCTGTTGACATAAATCAACATCAAGAAAGAACAGCTCATGACCTTGATGCTTAGCATGGAAAGAATAAAAAAGCAATATCCCAAAGAAAAAATGAGACAAATTTGAGAATTGCTGATAAGCAGGTTCTTTGTAGCATCAAAATATTATGTTCAGTGATCACCAGAACATAATCGCCAAAGAAAACAAAACGATAAAAGTTTCTCGCTGTATAAAAAAACAAAAATGTAGGTACATGTGGAAGTGAATCAATTTCGGCCAAAAAACATAAATGGTAGATGTTGAAGAATATTGACAAGGCCTTTCTTCCTTCATGATTTGAGCTCATCAATTTACTAGCAAATTAGTTACATTTCCAACACTTACCTCCTGTTTTGTTTTTGTCATATCTAAGCATAAAAAATGACATAGTCCCCCTAGCTTTCGATAACATTTGACAGGTCAAAAAATTTTTAATAGACAATGCAAAAAGACTCATCACAGAAAAAGTAAAGAACTAGCAAATCTTCAGACTTAAATATATACAAGTTTGTTTCTTTCCATTTTAGAATATACTTTCTTCATAGTTTGGCTAGTCACTAATGGCAGATCAGGCATCACACACACACACAAACACACACACACACAAAGAATATGAGAACATGTGTGCACTAAAATTGAACCTGGCACAGACTTTTGAAGACAAATGTATTATGCACATATACATTGGAGAGATTCCACAATCAAAAAAGGCAGAGGAACCACTGCAGAAATTTTGACATTAAAAAAAGATTACCACAATAGCATTTGAAAGTTCCTGATGAGCTTCATCAAGTTTCACAGCCATTTTTGCTATTTTATGAGAAAGAACTTTTTGGCGAGTTATCCAATCTGCATTTCTCCAAATGCTCTTGGGAATTTCACTCAAGCCAAAGCCAAGAAGAAATGCACCAGTAACAAGCCCAAAAGCATTCGACAAGCCCATAGCTAATCCCATAATATCATCACTCCTGTCAATATAAAGACATAGAACAAGCAGACATAAGAACAACTGCTAAGCAACCAGGTGAGGAAGGGAAAACTTTTTCAAATCCACTCCTAAATAATTTATGAGATCAACAAGCTGATGCTATGTTCGGCCAATGCATGGGGCTTATAGTACATAACTTCGGCGTATAGAACAATCCAATCAGCACTATGTGAAAACAAAGTCGGGAGCTATAAAAATACATACAAACTTGTGAAAGTCCTCCCCCCCCCCCCCCCCCAACCCCCCCAACCCCAACGCTCCATCCAGCAAAACTAAGAATAGACTAAAAGAAACCCATAGCAAAAGAAATCATTAACTAGGAAAGAAGCTCACCAATTCTTATGCATCATGATGAGAAGAATAAGTCCAAAAAGGCCAACAGATCCCACAATTAAATAGAAAACTAAGTTGACATGCACACTAGTCTTCAATCTCTCTGTCACAGTGAAGTCTCCAGCATCTTCAAAACCCTGAATAAGGGGCACCACAACCCTGCTTAGAGATAACAAAACTAACATATGAGGCAATGCATTATGAGCTGCAAAACCAGTGACAAGTATCTTACTCTCTAAGCACGGTATCTAACAAAGTTCATGGTAACATAGAAAGAAAGTACATACAAGAAGATCTTAGCAAACTACAAGAATTACATCATTTTGTAGTACCCATCCATCATTTCTGCCTACTTTGTGTAATTGACTATCCGCTATGAATGAATACAAAGACACTACAGATTATACAACATTGACAACTTAAGAACTGGGTGAGTACGAAACGCACCAAGTAAGCAAAAAAGTACTCCAATAAGATAAGCTCCAAAAGAAAGAAATGCTTCCATGCTCAGGAGCATCTGGAGGCCTGGATATTGTCTGGTAACAACAACAAACAGCTTCATCATCAAAACAAAATCACAACAAAAAGGCAAAATTATAGTAGGAATAGAACATCAAGCATCTCAAATTGAGATACAATTAGACTAAAAATCAGTAACACACAATCAATTTGGCAAAATAAACCTGAAGATTTCAGAATGTATAGCAGAATTACCGTCCAGATATCGGCCGGGACGAGGATGATGATGGAAAGGGAACAAGACCAGGCGTAAGCGACGGTGAAGAGGACGTAACGAGGCACATCGGGTCCGGCGAAGTACCTCAGGGTTAGAATTACCATACCTAGGGTTAAAGGCAACGAGATCAAGTAGAACACCCACATCTCTGCCTTCCCCCGCAAAACTCGGCTACTGTTTCTTCCTCTCTCTCTTTATTTTCTTCTGAGACGGAAGCTCCAACAACAGCTCTTTGCAGGTCGGGTCATGGTCCGTTACTGGTCGCGCCCCTTTTTCTTAATTACAGTACGGAGTATTATTTTTTGCGGTTTATTTGCTTAATTTTTTTGCTTAAATTAAACGCTCAAAAAAATA